CTTAGGTCGACGCGTCAGCTACACGACAAGGTCCGGGTCTGAAAACAAAAAAGGGAACAATAACCAAACAAAATTGTGTACGCAATATTTTACTGTGTATTTGTGTATTTCTGTCATCGCAATAAGAAGTAACGTGAGAGTAACTTGAAAAGTAATCAATTACTTTGCAGTAATTGTTCAATTACTTCTGCGAGGCAGTAATCAGTAACGGTAATCGGTTACTTTTTTGACTGTAGTAATTGTAATTGTAATCAGTTACTTTTTTTCAGTAACGTGTACAAGTCTGGCTTAGCCCCAGAAGCGCTTGCATGTTTTTAATGCATATTTACCTTTCATTACCCATATCTACTAAAGCAGATAAACAAAAACAAAAAAAGCTCGTATATAGTAACTAAAATTTGAGTAACCAAATACAAAAAAAAACCTAGAAACAATATTAACGACGCAAAAAAAAAAAAAAAAAAAAAAAAAACCTCGACCGTAGACATTCTACCATAAATATTAAGCCATCGTCCATTCAAAGACTACCGTCGCAAATTGTCCTGGGTTGGCAGAGCACCATGGCGCATCGACAAAAGAGGGGAATTTCCCAACGCCCGCTTTTGTCTTCCTGCAAAGACAAGCATTGGAATGGATCCACATTCTTTTCGGTGAATTCTTTGTTCGTATTGCACAAAAGGCTCGTATTTCTACGAGGCACTGCCAAGCCTGCTCGGTCGTAATAGGGTCTACCTAATGAACATGCACCCTATCTACCCACATACAAAGGCGGTTCTTTGTTTTATTAGTCGTCTATCACAAACCTTTAGGTAAATTAGGAAAGCGACCGGGCTTATTTTTATCTGTTACGCGTTTCCGAGTGTAATCTCCCTGTTCAATTTCGTTAAAACCGTGCTGCTTCGCTTTGACAGAGCAGTAGAATGAAGCAGGGTGATGGGCTTGTTTTATAATCTTTTTTGTGCGGTACAGTTTTTTGAGCATTTTCCAATGAATGTACACGGGGGTAAACGAGAAAATGAAACCCGCATTGTTAAAATTATTGTATAGAGAAATAATAGAAAACAAACTCTTCTCTTTGTCTTGAGGTTTCGATTGTTTATAAAGCGAGCCTGGTGAAGGCCTCATTCGTTTCTTTTACTGTGTTCATCTCTCACCCGTGCTTCCTCTCTCACACAGAAATGGCGTTGGTTTTTATTCTTTTCATACGAATATTTTGAATTGTGATGAAGCTCTTGTTTCTTGTTCTTCTTTATCAATCAATTTGGACTGTGGAAGAACGCTGTTCTTAACACTCCTAAAAACCATCGAATTAGTACGCCTAGAAAACAATACCATATTAACGCATACAATGTAAAGTTTCGGCGCAGATGATGGCTTTTAATACGCTATTTTGGTTTATATTAGATTATACTTCAGTTGCACGTTTCTCAAGCATTTCTGTATTACATTATGGTTATATCTGGACCTCGCTCTTGTTCGTTATACATGCTTTTGAAAACGACGCAACCCCGCGGCGACATCGCAATAAACGCGGACGTATCTTTACTGGGTGACCGTACGATAGCTTACCAGACTAAATCTAACCCATTTTGAGCGTACCCGGACAAAAGCTGACGTTGTTTTGTTACGTTTTTTTGTTGTTGTTTCTTTTTTTTTTGTAAACTGGACGAAAGCTTACTTGACGTAAAACTAACTGACCTAGACTGGTGGAAAAGAGGAAGGGAACACGTCAACAGTCGTTTGAAAAAGATACATTCTTTGAACCAGAATAACATAAATCCAAGTATCTGGAGATTGTTTTTCGTTTGGTTCTATTGCTCTTAGTCTATATGGCCGTTATATAACAGGCACGCGCAAATTGGGGCTCGCGAGACGATGTCTCGGAGTCGTGGGGGACTCAGAAGGCCGTGTCATGAAGTACAATCGGAGGGGAGTGGGTGGCGGACCTGAAAGGTTTGCGCACCTCCTCCATACCAGGAGCTATATTCACACCTCTCTGTTTGTAAACAACTCAACCGCTGGCTTCCCATTGGCAGACCCCTCACGACTTCCGGTTCAAGGCTTCCGGTGCGGCTGGCGCGTTGAAAACACGACCGTCTTCGCAGCAAGGCGTACGGGTCGCTCGTAAGTTTTTTTTTCTTTTACCCGATTCTAGAAGCAGCGTATTAGCTAGAATTCCATGACTTTATTCCGACAAAATGTCCTCTTCTTACTTTAGAAAGTTGGAAGAACCGGCGAGAAACCGCTACTGCGAAAAGCTGACCTTCGCAGGTGAGGAGCTTCCAGATCCGCTAGGCGCTGATGTTCGCAAAAACGTGTTCTCCACGGACGCTCGCCACTGGCCGCGACTAGAAATAGGCGATATCTACGTCTACCTCGTGGAAGGGATATGCTTCTACACGAGAGAGCAATTCAAAAGTTACAAACTAGAAGACGGTTACAACCTGTTTATAAGCGGAAAGGTACGCGACGCTTGTTCATTTGGGGCTACGATACAGAACGCTCGCATCGTTCTCATCACCGGGCAAGTGGAAGCTAGTCAGACTCTTGGAAAGTAGCACCAGCCTTGGGTCGTGGTGAAGAACGAGGGCACAGTCCTAAGCGCCCACTGCACCTGCATGGCAGGGTGAGTAGTTAGTTTTTAGAGCGCAGCTCTTAGGGGCCCGTTCCCGGCTTGAGCGGCGTCGCCGTCGGCGTCGGCGTCGGCGTCGGCGTCGGCGTCGGCGTAACCGCAACCCTCGTAACCCTCGTGAGGGTTACGAGGGTTACGAGGGTTAATCTCATGAGGGTTACCCTCACGAGGATCACGAGGGCCACGAGGGTTACTTACCCTTGTTACCCTCACGAGGGTTACGAGGGTTAGTTACCCTCAAAAGGGTTACCTTCACGAGGGTTACCCTCACGAGGGTTACTTACCCTTGTAACCCTCACGAGGGTTACTTACCCTTGTAACCCTCACGAGGTTTACGAGGGTTAGTAACCCTCGTGAGGGTAACCCTCGTGAAGGTAACCCTTTTGAGGGTTACGAGGATCAGTAACCCTCGTGAGGGTAACCTTCACGAGGGTTACCCTCACGAGGGTCACGAGAGTTATGAGAGTTACCCTCACGAGGGTTACTTACCCTCGTAACCCTCACGAGGGTTACGAGGGTTAGTAACCCTCGTGAGGGTAACCTTCACGAGGGTTACCCTCACGAGGGTCACGAGGGTTATGAGAGTTACCCTCACGAGGGTCACGAGAGTTACCCTCACGAGGGTCACGAGAGTTACCCTCACGAGGGTCACGATGGTTACCCAGGTCAAGTGACCCCCCCTGGGGTCACGTGACCTGGGGATACCCCCCGAGGTCACGTGACCCCCCGTTGACGTCATAGCCACTGATGACGTCATCATGACGTCACTGATGACGTCACCGGCATCCGCATCGTCATCATCATCACTGATGGCGTCATCAGTGACGCTACTGATGACGTCATCGGTATCGTCACGTGGCCCCAGGTCACGTGACCCCCCCCGACGTCACGTGACGCCCCAAGGTCACGTGACTCCCACAAGGTCACGTGACCCCCAAGGTCACGTGACCCCCCGCCCCCCGAGGTCACTTGACCCACCCCCCAGTACCCTTCCCTCCTCCTCCTCAAGAGCTGCGCTCCAATTCGGCGTTACAGGGAGTTGTAAACGGCTTTCATTGTTTTTTCATTCGAGGCTCCGCTATACCGTTTTTATTTTTTATCAGAGCCAAACACGTGCGTATAATGCCAGACCTTAAGTATAGTACATCTAATTAAACTAACTTCCTGAAAAAAGTGTCGTTCGGCGTTGTAAAATTTCATTTTCGTGGCATAGGGGGTCAGATTCTCAAATCCTGGACTGCAAATTTTCCTCACGGCATTGTTTTTTTTTTTCCGTTAATTTTGATCGCCATCGGATCGCAACCACACCGCCCCTCACGTTCCAAATCATTGTGTGCTTACAGGCTCGGCGAGGCCTGCAGTCACGTAGCCGCGCTCCTGTTTCGCGTCGGAGTTGATGTGAAGTTCGGCATTCATGACCCAAGCTCAACCTCTGTCGAATGCCGCTGGATTACAGCGTCTTCCACTGCTCAGGTATGCATTCAGTGCATGCTTCCGTGTTAATGTTTTTTTTCCTCTGGCCTTCTTTGAATTAGCGGGAAGCATATTCCCGTGCCCAAAGCAGCCCATGCCAGACGTTCATTTTAAAATCCTTCAGAACAAACTACTTTAAAAAAATTGGCGAACTCGCGTACGCCGAAAGGCACATGCAGTCAATATCATGAGCTGATTCGTCAATTTTTTAAAGGAGTTTGTTATGAATGCCTTTTAAATGACCGTCTGACCGAGGTAAGCTGTCAAATATTTCATGCAATACTGCAGGCTAGTCGAGTGGCTTCAATCGACTTCCTCAAGCCATCAAAGAAGAGGCGGATAAACACAGTCTCAACACCCAAAGAAGTCTCGTCTCACCCAGAGGCAACAGCAGAACAACTCAAGGACTTCCTCAAGGCAGTAAAGGTACTTACTATTCATGACACCATAATAGAAAAACACGAGCAAGGAGACAAATTGTGGCGATAACTTAGGTGGTGAAACCGGCTTTATTTAAAATCAAGGAGAGACCTCTAGCCCTCTCGTATTAACAAGACGACATCGTACAATGGGTGCAAATGCACACTTGATGTCGTAAATTGTGGTTCATTGTTAGGTTGACGCCTTGACACAAACTACGAATTGCAGGCTCTCAAGGGCACATAATAGAATGTCAACAGGTTACTTTGCTCGGAATGTAGAGATGTAGCCTCATTTGTTTTGACCCGTAAATATTGAGGTGACACTATAATCGACCAATGACCCTTTCCAGAAATTGGCACCCTACACGCTGGTGCTCAGGAGTCTTACAGACAGCGAAGACACAGACACTGCTGCCAGTGGTGATGTCGATGACGACGAGGATTCACTTCAAGTGCCTGAGACTATCGTGGACATGGTGTGCTTCTACGGTTCACTTAATGAGTCGGCTGCGAGAGAAGCAACATTCTCAGTGACTGAGTGCGACCAGGTGGAACTCCGCACACGCGCTCAGGCTAGCTCGGACGAGTGGTCAAGGCAAAGAGTGGGCAGATTAACAGCGTCCGTACTTGGAAAAGTACTCTCGTGCTGCACTGGGGCAGAGGGGATTGTCTCCCAAGTGATGGGCTATACCAGGGGTGGCCAGGCTTACCCGGCCTAAGAGCCGCAAGCAAAGCCACAAAACTTTGAAGAGCCGCGCGGGGGGGGGGGGGGGGGGGGGGGAGGTGCGGCGGGGGGCAAACTTTTGTTTAGCGTAATAAAACTCGAACTATTTTCAATATATCTGAGTCAAAAGCAGTTGAACTGTACATAAGATAGGAGAGCACAAGACTACCAAACCGCAACCTGTCTTTCGATTTAAAACGCATTCCATTTCTTTTTTTGGGGAAGCTCTCGTGTGACCGGGAGAGACGCGGGAAGTGGGAGGGGGGGATGGGTAGGGCAGGGCGCCGCGAGCCGCACTTTAACACGCAAAGAGCCGCATGTGGCTCGCGAGCCGCAGTTTGGCCACCCCTGGGCTATACCAAGACACCCGATGTGTTCAGTGTAAGATGGGGCAGGGAGAAGGAGGTCAAGGCTCGAAGTCGCTTCATTGCCGATGAAGCACCAAAGCACAGCGGCTTTGAGGTCAGGAAGTGTGGTTTGTTTGTGGATTCCGAGAGGCCATATTTAGGAGCTTCCCCTGATGGTGTTGTGTCTTGTTGTTGTTGCACAGACGCAGTACTGGAGATTAAATGTCCAGCGTCATGTGCAAACCTTACAATTGACGAAGCTAAGGCAAGACTGCCATACCTTGATGCTGACGCACGTCTAAAAGAAGATCACTTGCATTATGCTCAGGTCCAAATGCAGATGGCACTTGTTGAAACAACCAGAGCATTCTTTGTCGTCTTCACAAATGTGGACATAAATGTGGAAGAAGTGAAGTTTAATGAGGGCTTTTGGAACACGGCCGTCAGTGAGGCAGAGGAGTTCTACTTAAGTCACATTTTCCCTGAAATTCATGGCAGAGAACTGCTGAAAAAAATTGAGGATGCAAACACCATGTGCATTTGTAAAACACAGAAGTCCGGATCTGTCCTACGATGCGAGGTATGTAATGTAGCCGTCCACCTGAAATGTATGAAACTGCGACGTACGCCTATAACATGGGTGTGCTTAGTTTATAAACTTGCAAAATAGACCTACTGTTTATTGCAAGTGGGTTAGTACCAGTGGTGTCAATTTAGCAGTTTTCTCGCAAGATTTAGCAGAGTGGTGTGTTTAACTAGAGATATTGTTTATTTGCGGATGGCGGGATTTCCAGCGGTTTCAAATGTCTTAATATTGACGGTTTCAAATGTGCTTCATCGGCAAAAAGTTCATTGTGATTTAGCACTTGGTTAGTAGTCAAGACAAGTCAAGATCACCATCCAAACAGCAACAGTGCGGGTAACACTCGTGACATCATGGAGACATTGTAGTGGAAAACTGCCGAACACGACACTTGCGCGCACATGTTTGAATTTGTTTTACAGTTCGTAGGAAGAACGCTCACGACATCATTGGTGGTGGGCATCGGAACACGTAACTTGTGAGACCACGTTGGAGATGAAGTCGCTGACATCTTTCTTTGAATATGTTGTGTTGCCACCAGTTCTTGGTCAAACAAGTGAAAGAAGAGAAACCTGTAACTGTATTTTTAATATGTATAGATCTCGTAAACTAATCAAGGAAATAAAATGTTAAAAATATATTCTTGCACAACATTCTAAATTTGGCGGTGTTTGAGAATTCTTAGTGCGGGTTTCTGGTTTCTGAGTTGGCAACGCTGGTTAGTACAAAAACCACTGCTCATGCTTTGTGGTGAAAATAGACTCTGAAGTTGCCGGACTTTTGTTGCAGTACTTGGCTTAATGATACCGAGTTTGCATGCTCAAAACATTCTGGTACCAAAAATCAAATTAGGTTCAAACATATTATAGGATTCACTTCTCTTAACGGGGCGATGAAGTGATTCTTTATCTCTTCTGAATATTACTCGGAATGACTCTTTTTGACAATCATAAGCCAAAATGCATATTAGCTTTTTTCCACGAAGCAGCAGTCGCAGAAAAAAAAAAAGTGCTCACTCCCCAAGCAAAACATGTCGCCGTCTGATCTCGTGCCGATTATGTCTCTAATGTTCAACATAACCAGATGCTGGGAATGCCAATGTACGGTGGTCACCAAAGTTATACGGAATAAGCGAACTGCAAACTATCTCATGAAAGAGCTATCCTGTCATGCTTATGAAGTTTTATTTCCTGCTCACGACGAGAGGCTGCTTCAATCTTGTCCCGAGCAGCCACAAAACTTGACCAAGCCCGCCAGGGTAGTGCTCCCATGTAATAATGCAAAGTTATAATGTTCCGTACAAGTTTGGTGACCACTGTGCGCTGCACATGGTGTTCTCTCGGCTCGCTCCGAGTTTGGCTATTCCCCTCATGACAGTGACTAACTCCAAGTCGAGTGCTCATACAGAGTTTGCATGTAGCGATAACCACGGATGTGTCAGCTGCAAAATGGGCATGACGAATATATTACATACACTCAATGTTCAAGGAAAAAGATCATTTCAGAATAGCAGTACCAAAATACTGTGAAGAAAAAAGAAACACTCGCACTTTTTGTAAAGGAATTAGCCACATTTTCATTCCCAAAATATCTTGCAAAAACCTACCCCTGTAAAACACATCAACCGGGTCAGCTGCACTGCTGAAGCACAAATGCTCCGACAAACCTATTTCTTAAGCAGAGGGGGCTGCAGATTTGTCAGGGCAGCGCAAACAATCAACGCTTTGTCAATTGTGCAAATCTCGCCATCATCACGCTTCTTTAAGAAAGAAATTGGTAGAACCATTTGGAAGATCCTGAACACTTTGAGACGTCTTATTGCCCGCTCCACGTGGATGCGAGCACGAGACAGTTTGCGGGAAAGGGTTACCTCCGTACCCGAAAGCTGATTTTTTCCTTTAGTGAACGCAGGTATTAACAGCCTGGCACCTTTTGCAGCAAACATCTCTTGGCATCGAAATCCCCTGTCCACGAGGTACACATCCCCTTCATTCACAAGGTTCAAGAGCCCAGACTTCAACGTCAGTTCCTTATCGGAAACCCGTCCCCCCCATGCCCCCGAGATGAAAGTAACGGCTCCACTTGGTGACACAGTAAGAAGCACCTTGAGATTATTATGGTGCTTATACCTGGAATACGTCTGGCTTCGAGCCAGCATGTAGGCAGGTTTTTGTATAAAAATCTCTGTGCAGTCTAGCACACCAATCACATTCTTGAAGATGGGATCACCAAACGCAGTTGGCAGGTTGCGGCTGACAGCCCGTCTCGAGGGCCATACAATCAACTTCCCAAGGTTATGTGAAAGTATGTCTAGCCAGGCGTGGAATACTGCGCCAACTGTCGTTACAGACACCTTTAACCTGCATGCGAGGTCTTCATTCAACAAACCCAGCCTCAACTTCATCAGCACCAGCACAAGCTGCTCCTGTGGCAGAAGACAAGTGACGTCGGGCTGCCACACACTCAAAATGAACGTCAGGAGTGCATTGAACAGATGCAAGCTCACAATGCCTGTGTAAAATTTAACCCTAGTGTCTGAGTGCAACGCTGCCTGTGTTGCAGAATCTTTGTTGATGCCAGCAATCAAATTCAGGTTTGTAGCCTTGTACTCCTTGAGCAGCTTGCTGGTTTCGTGTAACTGATGCTGCGTTTCAGCAAGGGTACTCTTCAGGCTGGCGTTTTCTGCTTTCAGATGTTCAATGTCCTTGCTTGAAAGTGTGGTGGCCACCGACACATCACATCTGGTGCTAGACTCACAACACACCACTGCTTCGATGTTTTCTGGGTCAGTGGGAGCCCGGTCACACGAAACATCCTTTGGCTCGGCCGCCGCTCTTTTTGTGGACCTTGCCTGTTGTCGGTTGTACCTTTGCACATTTTGGCTGGTGGGTGCCTTTCGATAGAGAAACCGTGACGGGGCATAATCTGGGTGCACTGGGTCGTCTGAAGGAGCTCCTGTAAAAGGAATAGGAAGACACCTATCAGTTCATATGGAATACAGGGTACAAGGTCATTCCTTTCCAGTCCCACTTTTTGTGCATTGACTTCATGCATACATAAATGACGAGTGTACATCCACACTTTGCTAAGGCGAGCGCCCTGTTTTGGAACATGCCACGGCACTCATACAGGAAGTTGGCCAGGGTGCAGTGTATACCATTGGCTAGATTTTACTACTAATAATACGACAAATTTAAGTTAATTAAAGCTGGGAAAGACAGACGTAGTGGGGACGTGTCTTTCGCAGTTGCATGATTGCGCGTTCAAAACAAAAATGGCATGGTGGGTACACACCGCTTCGTAGAGCAGCTCGTTGTGAACGTAAATAAAAATTTAAGCTTTGCCCCAAAATTTAATTCGAAGGCTGTGTTTCTGCTCGTAAAGCTAGTCACCATTACACTTCTACCCGGACAAAACTCCGAGCCTCTGAGTTTTCGCTGTTACCCACACAATTTTAAATTGTAATAAAAAAAAAAAAAAAAAAAACTGAAGGCATGCGACACACAATTGGGAATGCTGCGTTTTCCTCCTTTGTTTTCACATCGGTGTTGACAAATCCGACCGTGAACTTTAGTCATAGCGGCAAATGCAAATCCGCGATTCCTAGAGGCGCCGCGGAACACTCGTTACTGGACCTAATCGCCCGATCCGTGCGAACCAGGGATCGAAATAGCGGCTGCGGCAAGCAAAATCAAACGGTAGGCTTCTAAAGCGAGGAAACTACCGGAACCTTGAACGAAACTTGACCGGCTGCTACCCTTCTGTCTTGACGAAACGCTCATATCTCCGTTTTTTTTTTTTTTTATGTGTTTTGACAGCGCTGGAAGTGTAAATCACCACTCTAAACAAATAAAAACCTTAGTGGCTCACCTTGTATGAAATGGGCGAAGCATATTCGGCTGTGGTCGTTCGGTTTCCACTTGTCCCTCTTCATGGCTTGCAGCCACGAAGCTCTGCGCTCGGGGTCTGCCGGAAAGCGGTGCATTCTCACAGTGGAAAGTAAGTTGGTCCCCGAACGCAGGCTGCAACCAGGGACGCTGCAACACGTTCCCTTGCTTGGCAGTAGACGGTTCGTTTGCGAATACATATCGGTCGGAGTGTTTAATCTAATCGCGAAAAGACAAGAAACTTACGAAACGAAAGACAAGCTGCGTCGCGGGCACAGCGGAGAAAAGCAGCAGAGCGAGACCGACCGGAAGTCTCCGGGGACCCTTTCCGGTTTGAGTGACTGGTGGCGCCCTCGTGATGAGCTTTACCCGAAATAAGGTGAATATGTGACGCACACAAGGATACCAAAAAGGACTAGATTTGATGGCTGAGTTAACGCTAAAGGGTAGGGTGCTGTAGAAATGCGATAGCCACGGATATTTATGTGCGTTTCTGGCTCGAACCCGTAGCAGAGACATTGACACCTATTCGCTTGTACATTTCGATGTTTCTTTTCTTAGCTATCGTCATGCCGAAACTCTTCTTGGCTTACCCGACCGACACTTGTGTGATCGGGTCCAAGGACGGATCACGATAGTGATCCGTCCTTGGAGCATTACTCGTTATCAGTGCCGTCTTTGCTCACCGCACCGAGCCTCTACACTTCCACCTACACCGCCTGGCAAGTAGGAACATCGTCGAATGAGGGTGTACTAAAGCATCTTCTACTCTCCAGTCATTTAGGGCTAAACACCACAGCAGTGCCATGACTCGTATTTGCGTGTGCATTCAGGTTGTTTACCTCAAAAACCTCAAGCGCTCTCGTAGAGAATGACAGAGCTTGGTTTTGGTGTCGAGCAAATACGAAAATTTGCTCACATGGTTGAAGTGTCTCGATTATTACTGTCTCTCGCACGTGTACGTTTCTTCAGTCTGTCAACTCCTCTTATGTCGGGTGATGTAGAATGAAACATAAGCACACAGACCGACAGTGAGAACATAAGGAAAGTAGTTGCTGCAGTTTAGAGACTAGAGGCTGCGCAGAATGACATTGTGTCGAAGGTTACGTCCTTATAATGTGGACTAAAGACAACCGATACATCGGCCCAATCGCTTTTTCCTAGGATAAATAGTGTCGAAGAAAGGTTGAAAAGTGATAAACACTGTGTCAGTAATTCCAACTAATCAAAGATTATTCGTCAAGCTAAACATATTCAGAAACAGACAATCAAAATAAGGTGAGCAGATTAAATTTTTTTTTTTTTTGCCGCCCAGATAACCCTACCGAAACGTGGGGGAATGGGGAAAAAAAGTGATAAACTTGTGTTCGTACCATTTAGCATTTAGTAAGAAACGTCAAATTTACAACGGTCGCACCGCCTGCGGCAATATCAACCAGGGAAAAACGAACCTATGCGGAGGGCAAGTTCGTCTGCTTCTTGCGCAGGGGGTAGCGGTGACGTCAGAACGCCGAGCCCTGATTGGCTGATCGCGACCCCCTATCTGAGCGTCGTCTGCTCCTTTGCAACGTCGTCTGCTCGCAACGCCGTCTGCGTCTGTCTTACCTTTCCTGCGACTTTCGTAAGTCGCAGGAAACGATCTCACGCCAAAAATATGCGTAAGCCATAACTTAAGAACAAATTTGTATTCACGAAACGAAATTTTCGCAAGTTTTGTGCAGGTTACGACGAAATCCTAGGACAGCTTTGAAGCTGTCGTACGCACTTCTTACAATCAGCATGGCCGACAGCGTCGCGGTCGCGACGACCCACGGATGTTTATTTTTCTATGTGCGCTTCTCACGCGTCCCGACTTCAAGCAGCAAGAAAAAAATAAAAAGTACTTGAAACAGACCACGACGAACAAGAACGCTGGATCCACAAACACCCGGGAAAAGCTCCAACGGCCACGATTCCACCGACAACGACGAAGCGAGCACGGCAGTTAGGCCTAGCCGGCACTCCCGGACTCAGCGACCGTCTGCCCACGACCGGCTGGCGTGCTGAATGGAATATGCCCGCGCGACCCTTGTGAACCCTTCCCGTATTATACTTTGATCGCTGACCTCACTTTTGGATTAAGAGGTCAATTTCTTCCTCTTGTTATCTCCTTGTTTCCCGAGGCAACGGCGACTCTCGCCGGTGAAAAAGCGGTGAATCTCCGACAGACGCAGGAAAGGTAAAGCAGCCATCGCTTTGACTAGCAGACGTAGAGCAGACGACGTCAACTGCGCCAACCCGCCGACGCTGTTAAAGAATGGTGGTATCGCCGCACACGAAAGGAGGGACAAAGTATTTGGGAGGGAACTTGCACGCTCACCTCCCGGTTCTTAGTAAACAAACCTCGGCGCCTCGGGACACCTCGCCAGTGAGTCCTCTGGATTCCCTCCTTGATGTGCGTCTGCTAGTTGTTAGACAAAAACAACGTACCGCTCGAGTTATTTCGTCTGCCCTCTGTGAAAGGCGAAGTCGAGCTCGCATGTAAAGACCTGCACTTCTGAAAGTCGCAGGATAGGTGAGACAGACGCAGACGATATTGCGAGCAGACGACGTTGCAAAGGAGCGACGACGCTGAGATAGGGGGTCGCGATCAGCCAATCAGGGCTCGGCGTTCTGACGTCACCGCTACTTCCTTTCTCATGCGCAGAAGACGAAAATGAGACCACTTGCGAGGCGTATTATTGTCTAGCTTGCAATGTTTAAACATAAAGAAAACCATTTTGCTGCCAGCTATTCGCTAAAATATACCATTTTCTGTAGGGGAAGATTTCTATCCGTTCGTGCGTATTGTCCGTGCAAACTCTTCCAGTTCAGAGAAAGTTTGAACGTACCATTTAAAGTTCGTTTGAACATATTCGATATTGATAACAAACGTTTTGTCTAACTGAGAGTCTCAATTTGTTGTTTAACCATTACAAGTAAGCACGTGCTCAATTAGAAGATACAAAACAATTCATTCCTCTCCTCGTGCCGCCGCACGCGATGAAAACCCCCCAAAAGAAATTATCGTCTCGACAAACATTTCCTGCTTCATGCCAAATCACGACAACCAGCATAGCATACTTGAGGACAGTTCATCAGATGGGATTATATACATAATCCAGGTTAAGACCCGAAATGGAAGATGAAGAACTTTGATCGGCCCAGGTTGATACCCGAAATGGAAGATGAAGAACTTTGATCGGCTCTACAAGAGGCAAGGTGGTGTGTCCTTTGCTATAAAAATACAATCTATTCTTCCACCTATGTTTAATGAATGAGGGCTAAAAGCTGTTATACGTATACGTTTCTACGTCATTTAATAAAGTAATTATTGGTGGTTATTATAAGCGACGCAACTTTTTTTCACCTTTTCAGAGAGAACTGTGTGGTATGGAACGTGGTTATACACGCATTTGAGCATTTGACCGCAGCGCCCTCTCGTCTATAAACGTTGAGCCAATGCATGCAAAGTTTAACGTGATTATTGTGTTCTGTCCAACTTCATACTAGAAATAATTTTCCGAAAGCCGAAATGGTATAATCTGGCGACCTAAACCTTCCTCTCATCGCCTGGTAAAACTTATAACCAGGAAGCTCTAGAGATTCCAAATTGTTTCTAGATGTGTGTCTCACTTCAAACTTCATGCAGTTAGTATTAAACCTACTTGTTCAGATAACCTTTTCGGCCTGATACTAACAATGCATTCTGACTTTGTCATATCTATTCACTACTGTCACTACTGTCAGTACTGTCAATACATACACAATATCCACAACACAAAAAGAACAGTATCATTCCTAGTGAGTCTTTTAAACTCACACTTAACAAATCCTTTTCTGAAAGCTGCCTTTGATCTGACCGGAACCATGGTTATTTCAATTTTCAGACAGTGTAGACGTCCATCCATTTTTAATTCTCACCTATTTTTTCAAACTTCTACATCATGCAAACCAGTTGTGCATAAACTCTGCTCCAATATCATGAAGCTCCTTTCATCATTTCTTTTTTTTTTTATAAACAAGAGCATGCTTTTTTATTTGGCTTTTCTGTTACACACAGCTCTGCGGTTTCATTAATGATTTGCACAGTAAATTTGAATGTCATGTCCAGACTAAAGCAGTACTTCTTGATTTTTCTAAAACCTTGTACCATGTCCCTTAACAACGCCTCCTTGCTAAGCTAGCATTTCTTGGATTTAACCAATCAATCTTAACATGAATTCGAGAATTTTTGTTTGTCCCCCGCGTACTTCAAATGGTCATTAATGACCATGAATCTTCCTTAGCAGATGTATCTTCTGGCGTTTTCTAGGGGTCTATCCAGTGCACTTTCGCACTTTTAAATAAATGTAAATGACCTTCCAAATACAATTTTCTCAAAAATACACTTTTGGTCGACCACTCTGTAATTTGTTTCAGGGTAGCCTGTGCGCATGATAATACTCAGCTTCAAGAATACATAGGTGAAATTTACAAACGGTAAAAAATCGAATGAAGTCGCTAAACAAGGCTAAATGCAAACAAATATATTTCAATAGAAAAATGATCACTCTGCACGGTCAATACTTTCTAGACTCCAATCTGACTGAAACAATTTCTGCGCATTTGTATCTTGTTGCCAAACTAACATCAGACTACTCCTGGATAAACTAAATTAAAGACATCACTGCAGACTAATCTATAACTGTAGGACTTAATCAAACATAACTTAAGAGGTGATCTACCTCTTGACCGTAAAACCAAACTCAAAATATGCTGCATCCATCTGGAACTCTTATTAGCAATACAGTATTAAAAAGCTGCGAGCAGTTCGAAACAGAGCTGCTCGTTTTAACTTATCCACATATAATTTTCTTTCCATGTCTCAGCGCTGAAATAAACTAGCCATGTTTAATTTGCAGGCACAGAATGATCTTTCATCTCTGCCTTTTTTTATAAAATGTACCACCGCATTCCTGACCTCAAAAAAACATTGCTATCACCCCCCGACCCAAAATGCTCTCGCTTTAACAACGACCACACCATC